GGAGAAACTCTTGATGGAGATTTGGGGAAGGGAAGGAGCCGTGGCACCAGGGCAAGCACACTGTGTGGGCTTGTGGGGGTCTTTATTGGCGGCCTGGGAACCAGGAGCAGGGCTGGCCACCTACAGTCCCTGCACAGGAGTCTTCGCTGAGGTCTTTCAGGGTGGCACTTGTGTCACCTGCCCTTCAGAGGAGGGAACTTCAGAACTCTGGAGCTGCTCCCTTCAGGGTGTCACAGAACCATCACGTTTACCCCAGGTTATTGCAACCATTCCACTGTTTGCATAATTACTGAAAGATTCTGATTTCAAAAAAAAAAAAATACCCACTCTGCTTATTCATACCTGCAAGATTCCCGAAAGTCTTTCCGAAGGGCTAAGTAAAACTCTCATTTTTGACCATGCCAACCCCCTTTCCCCAATATTATTAAATAGGTATGAAAAAAATTTCCAAAAACATATGCCTTATCTATCTGATAAAACTCCTGAGCACTATAATACCAAAGTGTTGCAAAGCCTGGAATCTGGATGTGTGTTTATTAGAAAATCAGGAAAATTTTCAAACATATCAAAAAGTGGGTGACATTTCGGTGAACGGCTGAACATGCACCACCTAGAATCTGCCATTAACCACGTGTGGCCTGAGCCACATGCATGCTGACATATCTATCATTACAGAGGTCTTTATCACAGATCTGTCCTGTCCATTTTAGCAACCCATGTTAGCTTTGGCACAGTTCCAAATTCAATATCCAGACACCTTTCGGTACCCTTCCTTACAGCTCTCTTAAAATTCACTGAATATACATGCCTCAAGTTAAAAAAAAATAATGAAAACATATCATCTGTTTTTTTTTTTTTTTTCCTGCATAGCTAAAAAACTTCACAGGTTTAACCTAGAAGCCATTCTTACAAATAACATTCAGGCAAAAAAGGCTGCTGTGTTGCAGGCCTGGCCAACACTGTATGAGTGAAGGGCAAGCAGACCTGGGTATTCTGACAGTGGGAACGTGGCTGGAGAAGGGGCGGGACCGTTTTAAGAGGGCAACTGCGTTTAGCGAGTCTCTTGTGTGGGAAGGGATTAGCAACTTTCACAGCTATTTAGGAACAAACCGGGAAAGAAAGGGGGAGGTAGGGGGGAAGAGGGGAGTATCAGGAAGACTGCAGGAAACTGCTGGAAAAAGGAGTGTCCAGCCAGAAAGGGGGTGTGTGCGGCCATCCGCTGAGGGTAGCCAGCGGCGGGGAACCTGTCAGTGGCCTGAGGCGCTTTCAGACCCTCGTCCGGCCCGCCACCCGCCCCAGTCTTCTCCCTTCGCGCTTGTATAAGGGTACACAAGTCTGGAGCAGACACGCTGTGCACACCCACGAGTGTGCGTGGAAATATGAGCGTGCACGCGCGCGCACACACACACTGATGGGGTGATCGGTGGAGTCTGGGGAGACGGAGAGAAACACGGGACTCCGTGGACGTTCCAGGGTGCAAAGACCCAGGGCAGCCCTTGCAGAGCGTGCAAAACCAGAGCATTCCGGGATCGGACTCCTCACTGCTTACATCCTTATCCCCTCCTCTCCCCCCCACTGCCCCGCCTCCAGCCCCTCGCCCGCACCGCCAGCCGGCTCCGCCGCCCCCTTTCACTTTCGCGTCTGCGTAGGTGTTTGCCCGGGCGGGCGCGAGGGCGCGGGGGCGCGCGGCGCGGCACGGGGGCGCGCGGCGCGGGAGGGCTCCAGGGCTCTGGCGTCGCGGCAGCTGCAGCCGCTGGCGTCCGAGCCACCCCTAGAGCCCGGGGGACCGGTCACCGCCGTGCCCCCTACCGCTCTCCCCACGCGCCCCTGCGCGCAGACACCCGGTCCCACCGCGGCGCCCCCACCCCCCACGGTGGGGGTGGGGGCAGAAGCTCCACGAGCCCGGGAGGGGCGGGCAAAGGAGCACAACGGCAGGGTGGGCAGCGGGGCAGCAGGCAAAGAAACTTTCCCTTCCCTCCTCACCTCCCCCACACACCGTGCGTGGTCCCGAGCCCCCGCCTCTGCTGCGGGTGGCAACTTGCACCTGAGGCCAGGTTGCAAAGAGCAAGGCCGAACTTTGAGGGCCCGTGGGGAAGGGGTGGAGGGGAGCCTTGCATTTGGGTTCTCCTTTTGCTTACGTCCCTGGGGCTGTGTCAGTGGCAGGGGTGGGAGGCGGGGCAGCCGCGTGCGCCCCCAGCCGCGTTTCCCACCCTTGCCCGGCCCGAGGCGTGCTGTCCCCCTTCCCGCAGGCGAGGGTGTGACCCGAGGAGGGGACCCACGGTGCCGCGGGCTCCCCCTGCGGCCGCCCCTCACACACGCGCCGGGTCGCCCTAACTGTCACCCGCCACCCCAAGCCCGAGGAGGGGCGCGCCGAGAGCCGCGCTGCGGGACAGCCTGCGCGCCTTCATCCCGCCGGAGTTGCGGACTCCCGGGTCCGCGGCGGGCAACGCGGGTCAGCGCCGGACGGACGCGCAACCCCAGGAAAGGAGCTGGGCTCCGGCCGGGCCGCCGCAGCCGCTGCTGCTGCTGCTGGGGGCGGGCGGGTGCCCGCGGTCCCCTCTGCGCGCTTTGGCGCCGCCGCCTCGCCGCCTCTCGCGGGGGTAACAACACTACAGCTCTACTGCTCTACCCACCGTCTCTAGGGTGCAGCCTGGATTCTCATCCTCTCCATCCTCGCCGCTAAGCCGCTAATATCGGTCTCGCCGGTAGCGGCGGAGGCGGCGGGAGTCTCGCTGCCCCCCCTCAACCCCCGCCCCAGTCTCCCCACCATGTCCTAGAAAAGGTGAGTGCGGCGACAGTCACTTTGCGCTGACAGCAGCCGGAGGGGAGCTCCCCGGCAGCGTCGGGGCGACACGGGGACCGCGGGGGAAAGGGCAGAGGGCAGAGCGCGTGGGGCTGACGGCCGGAGGTGGGCTGCGGGGCCGCCTCGGGGCAGGGGCGCTGGGTGACCGGTGAGCCACATCTTCTTGCGCGGTTGCCCCTGCCCGGTTCTAACCTAGATTTTGCAAGAAGCTGAGATCCAGGGCAACACCGGCCCGCCTCAGAAGGAGGTAAAAACTTAGTAAAAGAGACACGTCCATCGCTTTCATGATGAATAATCGGGCTGCGCCGCCGGAGCCGCTGTCTCGCGTGCCGGGCACTAGGTCCGGTACTCCCTCTTGGCTCCTGCGGACCGCCGGCGCACTGCCGAGTTGCGATCGATGCGCGACTGCCCGCCGGGCCAGCATTGCGCGCGTGACGCCGGGCCCCGCGGGAAAGTTGGGACACTCGGAGGATACTCCCTGCCTCGGGGACGCCTAGCTCGCTCCCTGTCCGGGGTTCTGCGCGTTGGAAGGGGTTGGGGAGGGGAAGTGGAGTCTGGAGCGCTGGAGTCAGGGGGTTCGGTCGGGGACCAGCTCTCCAGCGCCACCGGGTCGGCAAAACCGGGGAGTTGACGCACGGAGCGGAGAAGAGTTCGAGACTTCCTGAGCTCGGGGTCGGGGCTCCTGAAGATTTAACCAAGTGTAAGGAGAGGAGGGGCCTTCGGGATAGGGTGCCCACCTCCACCCCGCCCCGGGAGGGCCGGGGTGCTGATGGTGGTGATTGTGGTGGTAGCGGCTGCGAGCTGTACAGCTGTGACCACTGGCCGGCCTGCGGGCCGGGGGTGGGGGTGGGTGGCAAGGGATCGGGAAGAGGGGGTACCAGATTTAGGTGTGTACGTCACATGCTGATTCCCGGCCAGCGGGAGCCTGAAGCGGAGGCTCAGCCGCCAAGCCTCCAAGTCCATAAAAATCAAAGTTAAGGAGCCCGTGCTTTTGCTTAGTAACGGCGGCGCCGGGGTGGGCGGGAGCAGAGTCGAGGTGGAGGTGGGGGCTCCTTTGGAGGGAAACCCGAAATTCTTGCAGACGCTCGAGGCTTAGGAAACTGTTGGGTTGCCACCACCACCAACACCACCACCCCCTTTCTCGTGTGTCGCTCACAATTACGCGCGCCCCCACTGCCTTCCACTCGTGATGAACTAGACGATCCTCAATGGTAGGTCGAATTGAAATAGTGGAAAAATCCAATACGAAAGTAGTAAGTACAAGCACCTTGTAAGAGAGAGGAAGCAGCGGCTGATTGGGAACCTGGTACTTTTTTTTTCGGGGGGAGGGCGGTGAGGAGGAGGACGGTTGGCGACAGAAGGAAGGCTGTGTTTAAAGGATTTCGGTTGCCGCGGGAATTGCCCGTTTTCTCCTGCACGGTTCAAACCAGGAAATTCAAATCGAGGTGGGAACGTGATTCTCTAGTTCACCGGCCACCGAATAGGCTCCAGCTGGCTGTTCCGCCGAGAGGTAACTCCAGAGACTGAGCCCAGGGGGAGGGGACAGGCACCCCGGGGTCTCGCCCAAGCCCACCCGGCGTGCGACCTCAGCGCGCGCACGCTGTGGGCGGCACTGGGCTCCTGGCTGCCTCTCGCACCTGGCGCTGCAGGTGGAGAGCGCGAGGGGACACCACCTTGACTGTTCGCTTTGCGTCACCGCACTTCACAGCCCTCCAGCCACCCGGGAAAGCAGGGCGGACACGGGCAAGTCGGGAGCGGTGGAGAGAGAGGGGTGCTGGGTGCGGACGCGCGGAGGGCGGCGTGCGCAGGCTGCTCGGTGTGGCAGCCACCGCCCGGCACCCCCAAGCGCCCGCCGCAGCTGCAGCTTTAAGGAAGCTGCCGAGTCCAGGCTGTGTCGCAGCAACTTTGTATCAGTCATGTCGCCCGCCTGTTGATGGACAGCTGGCGCGGCCCAATGAGGCGCCCGCCTGGCCCGTGCGGCGTGGAGCCTTGCTTCCCTCCGAGCCAATGGGAAGGGCTCAGGGGGGCGGGAGAGCAACCTGAACTTTATCTGGACATGTGACCCGTTTTTAAAAGGGCCGGCCCTCCAGCTGGCCCACTCCCCCTCCGGGTTCTCGCCCGCCCTCTCTGCCTCCCCTCCCCTCTCTCCTCCCCTCCCTCCCTCCTCGGCCCGCCCCGGCCCTGCCCCTGCCCCCTCCTCTCAGCCCCCTGCGCGCCCGGGGTGTCATTGGGCCCGGGAGACAGGGAGCCAACTTCAGGGCTGCTCCGAGGAAGCCGGTGCAGTCACCTGGGTGCCGGAGCGCTGCCGCCTCGGGCTCTCCCGCTGCAAGGGAGAGCGGCGCCCGCCGGCCTGGATGTGGTTGGATTTTAGGGGGGCTCCGCAGCAGGGGTGTCGTGGCGGTGGCAGGCGCTGCAACAGGTAGACGGTGAGAGACGGACCCCGGCCGAGGCAGGTGTGTTGGGGTGCGCAGTGGGGCGCCGCTCGCCCTGCCGGGCGTGCGGCCGTGGCGCGGGAGCGTGCACTTTGCAGGGAGAAGCGGCTGCGTAATCTAGAGGCACCGCCAGTCCGGTGCTGGGGTGCTTGTTGTTTTGTTTTGGGTTTTCCACTTTTTTTCTACCCCCCCCCCTTTGGCCGCCAGAGGACTATTTTGGGAAAGTTTGGCCACTTTGGAGAAATGCCCTCTAATGAGCAGCTCTCTCGGCCGCCCTTGGCAGGGGGAGATCTGCTACCCTTGCTTTCTCCCCACCCCACCCCCTCAGCCCCTCAAAGATGAATTTCGGGTCGCTTCCCCTGCACAGTATTTTAAAGGACGCTTGAGTCACGTTGGTTGCTTTCCTCTGTCAGTCGCCAGAGCTCGCGAATCTCAGCCAGAGGTGTAGCGAATAAGGGCAGCTGAAGGAGATACCCACCCCGATGAATCCTGCGTGGAAGAGGCTGTGGAGGTTCCGTGCGTTTCCCGTTCCCGACTGTGGGGAACTCGGGAGAGAAACTGCGCTTTCTGTGTCATCAGTGGGGATTCTAAGTGCACCCGAAGGGATGCAGCCGCATTCGGGGGCATCTTTGCCGTGCTAGTGAATTTTAGGTGCGTGGCTCTTGGAATGGCTTTGACAGGACCAGGTTTAAATCCTGATGGCTTATGGCACCCACAGCTTTGCTCAATCTCTTCTAACCCAGGAGTTAAGCAAACTTTGTGGTAGCAGAGGAGTCTCTGAATCGGGTCAAAGATTCGGATGCACCGGAGCGCTTCTAGACCGTTTGTCCTGCCGTTTCTCTAGGTGCTGTTATTGATGATATTTACCCGGGAATAACAGCATTCTCAGGCTGTGAACTCTTGCTGTGAAGTTTTAATTTTATGTTTGACATAATGGCTCACTAGCAGGGGAATGCTGAAGCAGGGAAGCTTTAAAAAAATAAGCTGAGGTGAAGCTTTTACCCTAAGGCAGACCAGGTTTTGCTTGGGGACTTTGGAAAGATCAGGTGGCTCCCTGAATTAGGTGAGTGAATGGAAATCAGGTGTGCCCGTTCTGGCTGGTTCTCCAACTCTCTGAGTGACCTTGGGGCAGGTTTCTGTCATTTACCTCCCTATAACAGGAACATCAGAGTACTGTAGCTGGAATAACAGCAGGGGAAAAAAAAGTTGCATACAACAAACTTTATAACTCTGTTATAGAGATGATTGTGAAAGTCTGAAGGCTTAGTCTTTAAGGTGTCACTTCAGGTAGTGAAATAAGTTGAAAATGATGCCTTGAGAGTGAGACCGTGTTTGGGAAGAATTATCAAAACTGAAAATATTTTCAGGTAAAGTACAGATTTGAGGAGATCTTTGTTAAGATTCCTGGGCTGGGAGGAAGGCACCCCAGAACTAGTTCCTTATGGAAAGGGGGCATTTTAACACATAGTCTAAAGCATAACATTGTAAAGTCAAGTTTTCTTTGGTAATATAATGTATGGGCGTAGAAGAGTCTGTGGTTTAATGTAGAGCCTCAAGCACTGCTTTTCCTTATGTGAATTTCCTTGATGTTGTGTTTTGAGGAGAGGCCATTTGCATGAAAATTAAAGATTCCTAATGGTTTTTGTCTTTGTCCCAAGGGAGTCTCTGGAACAGTTTCCATTGTCAGGTGAATAAGACTGATTTTATATGAGCTAGATTTTGTGTGCTACTGTCTGCTTCATATTATATTTTAGAAACAAAAACTTTTCCCTTAATTTGTGCATATTAAGTGCTATCACAGTCATCAACTGGCATTTTCAGTTTTCACTAGCCAGTCCCGGTTGACTGAAACTCTGCGCAAGCCGCGGTCATTTTGCCCGTTCCAAAAAGACGGCCCTAGTTTCCTGGACAACGTAAAAAAAAATATGTTCCTAACCTGATTCATTTGAGTGCAGAAAAGGACTAAGTATTAAGGGAGATTTCATCAGAAAATATTTCAGTACTCTTATTTTTACAGTCTGGTCTTCACAAAGTTTGGCCACGAAGCCATGTAATCCCTAGATGTCCTGGCTCCATTCGTGTGCCTCCAGCCCTTAGCTCTCTTCGCTTTTTTGAGAGTGCATCAGCTTGGCAAATGAGAACACCTTACAAACCACTCTTGTAGATTTCAGCAAAGCCTTTGGCAAATTGTTGAATATTGGTGCTGTCAGTAGGGTCCAAGATACACTGTTCCGTGTTATGACAGTTTCAGGTGAGCCAAACCAGGCTGGTAAGGTTGTTATCAGCTGTATGTTAGTAGATAAGGTGCCTTGGCAGCCGTGGTCTTCCACAAAATCCTTTGGAAGCTTCTTACAGCTTCACAGCGTTGAGATGTGGTGGGGCTTTCATGCAGAGTGAAGAAAAGTGTGCCCCAGATTATCGGTGTTTAGTTAAAAGTTTTCCTGGACCAAATTATGTAGCGTATACTGATTTGTGGCACTGAAGACTTTCCAAGGGTTTTAATATACAAATGTACACTGTGAAACCTAAAGAAAGTAGAGTCTACGCTTCCCAAAGGACAACTCGGGAGGTGAATTTTTGGGGACGGGTCTAGATGGAAATCTGCCTATTGTTAGGGCTGAGAGCCTATTGCTTGAGAAAGAGAGGCACGGTAGTAGAAACCTATTTCTTGTTTTTTTGTTATTTTGGATTGGTGCCGAGCGGAGACCAAGTTTAAGTTTCAGCCATTTGAGGCAGTCTGCCTCCAGCATTGGGGCGTGGGGGGGCAGCGTGTGTATCTGTGCTGGGATGGGGGAGGTAGGAGTTAGTGATGTACAAAGAAGATGCTCTGCTTGAATACAGTCCTGTTTCTTGCAGTGTTAAATGAATTTGCAGCTGAAACATACCTTAGCTATATATTTACTCATCTTTGCGATGGGAAAGATAGAATATTCTTAAGTAGAAAAGGAGGTACGTGATAATGTTTATTGTGTTTCTCAATCTGTACATGTTGTTAAATGCATTTTCAGTGAAGTAGGAAAGAAGAGTTTTGGGCACGTAGGTCTGAAATCACTGCTTCTCCCCTGCAGCTTCTACTCTGCTTTCACCTTTTTGGGTGGAATTGACAGATAACCATCTCAGTCTTTGTAATTTGATTTGTTTTTTTCAATGCTTTAAATTTTATTTTTGGTTAAGAATGCATAAGATAATGTTCTTAAAATAGAAACAAGCTGTGCAATTGGTGGTTTTTAATGTTACTGTTGAATGTTGATGTATTGGTAATAATAGTATTGATGATGATTAAAACTTCTTATGTGTACTATGCTGCACACTTGGGATACAGTGCTGAAACCGTTTCTGCCTTCTCAGAACTTGAAATTTAATGTGGGATACAGAAAAGAGAGGTAATTACAAAATTTGGACAAGTTGAGTATTAAATTTCATTAAAGGATCTTAGATCGTATGCCAGTTCATTTAGTGGAGACATTATTTTTCAGTGTTAACTAATAAACATTCTGTATCAAAAGGCTTTCCCATTCTCACTGTTTTTTATTTAACAGGGGATGGTTCGGGGGATGAGGGTAGTAAGTGAGGACATGGGGCAAGGATCAGAGGCCCAGAGTCCTGTATCTGGAGAGAAGGTGCTGAAACAGCCACTGTCTAGTCAGGACCATTCTTGGACCCTAGGTGGTGTAACAGACTTGAATGGATCTGAAGCTGCATGCAGATTTTAGGGGAGTCTTCAATGTACAAATACAAGTTTACTGTGGATGAGTTCCTTTGATGCCACCTGCCATGGCACTCGGTGACCTCTGAGGCCTTCTTGGTTCTCATGGTTGAAGAGGGAGAGCTTGCTTGGTATCTCCTGGGCAGGTTGTGGAGTTTGCTAAACCTTTGCCAATGCAGACCTCCAGGACAAAGTCAGTAGTGCCAGGGTTGTTGGGCTCTGGTGTAGAGAAGCCTGGCGTCACATGGCACCTGTGCCAGTCGGCTTTTCCCATTGTAATAATAGTTTTTCTGGTCAATTAGGGTCGTTGGTAAGGATAAATGAGTTAACATAAGTAAAAGGCTTACAATGCTGCATTGAAACATATAGTGTGTAAGGGTTTCGTAAATACAGCCTATTGCTATTATGCAGTCTATCAAATGAATTTATTTGTATAGTCTCTGGATAAGGTTGTAAAACAGGCCTTCAAAAAGTTCATGGGAAATGGTTATTTAAAAAAAAAAGTTATTTTGCATCAAAATAAACTTATCTGTTTTTTTCCCCACAGACTTTTTGAACTGATCTCCTATCTAGTGTGGTTTCCTTAAGAATAAGGAGTATGCATCCCTCGGTTGTTACTACAGATTCAGCAACTTAGGCCCAGGATGAAGCAAACCCTTAGCAAATATTTTTGAATGAATGTATGCTTAACTTTTCAGGGCAAAAATATCTGAAGTTTGGGAGTTGTCTTAGCTGAGGACCGCTAGGTCAGGGAGCATGCTCAAGTCCTGGCCGGTGTTGAAACAGTCTTGGCATGTTGGAATTGTCCTCCAACCTCTGGGAGCCACAGACTGTCTTAGCCAATACACATCTTCACTTTTCAGAATTGACATTCAGGTGACTTCATCGCTAATCTATTTTTATTTAAAAAGTACTTATTTTTATGTGACAATTCACTTGATTAGTTTACATATGAAAATGGTAACTTTGGTTGCATTCTGTATGTTTTTAAGATTTTTTTTTTTAAATTAAAAGGAAACATCACAGAAAGGGAGAGACACACGTACACACATGAAAGAGAAAGGGAGAGAGAGAGATCTTCCATTTTCTGGCACATTTCCCCAAATAGTTGCCACAGCCAAGGTTCAGCCAGGCCACGGCCAGGAAGAAGGAACTTGATGTAGATCTGCCATGTAGGTGGCAGGGGTCCAGGGACGTGGGCCATTATCTCTATGCCCAGGCCTGTCAGCTAGAAGTTGGTTAGGAAGTGGAGCGGCTGAGATTCAAGCCTGCACTGTAATAAGGGGTCCTGGCACTGCACTTACCCCACTGGGCCGCAGAGCCAGCTCTCCATATGGCTTTTAACAAGGGCACAAACTAGAAATGAATAGCTGTGATCAGAAGACCAAAGATTTGGGGCTGATCTTTCTACTTACATGGATAAGTCCCCCACTTATTACTTGGGTAAGTTACCCACCTTATTAACTCCTCAGTTTCCTCTTTTGCCTGCCTCTCATCCACAGCCAGGATTATTTTGAATGTCCAGTAAGCTTTTGTGAGTATTCTTAGTAAATTTTAAAGGATCCATTACAGCAAATAGGTTTTCTGTGATTGTTCCTCTTGTCCTGCTCTCTGGACAGGTTAGCGTCAATGCTTCGTTACAGCAGCACTTAAAAAGGTGATGGTTTTATCGTGACTGGAAATTTTGCTTCTAATAGAGTGTGTTTGTAGCTTCATAAACATTTTTTGGAATATCTTTTTGAGCAGCATTGTTACAAATGACTCTAATTTTTAAAAATATCTGTTTGTTTGTTAGCTATGGAGACCAAAGGCTGCCACAGTCTCCCTGAAGGTCTCGATATGGACAAACGGTGGAGTCAGGTGTCTCAGACTGCGCAGCGACCTACCCTGGTGTCTGCAGAGAGAAGCGATGAGAATAACTGCATGGAGGTGGTCAACGTGAGCTGTGTTCCCGGTGCTATTCCAAACAACAGTACTCAAGGAAGCAACAAAGAAAAACACGAACTGCTCCCCTGTCTTCAGCAAGACAGCAGTCGGGCCGGGATCTTAACGTCTGACATTAAAACCGAACTGGAGTCTAAGGAACTGTCAGCAACCGTAGCTGAGTCCATGGGTTTGTACATGGATTCCGTAAGGGATGCTGACTACAGCTACGACCCACAGAACCCACAAGGAAACGCGAGTCCAGCCAAGATGTATCAAAATGTGGAACAGCTGGTGAAATTTTACAAGGAAAATGGCCATCGTCCTTCCACTCTGAGTAGCTTGGGCAGACCCTTGAGGTCCTTTATGTCTGACTGTGGGAGCTCCGTGAATGGTGGGGTCATGCGTGCCCTGGTCAAAAGCCCCAGCCTGTGTCACGAGAAGAGCCCCTCTGTTTGCAGTCCTCTGAACATGACAACTTCAGTCTGCAGCCCTGCTGGCATCAACTCTGTGTCCACCACCACTGCCAGCTTCGGCAGCTTCCCAGTGCACAGCCCTATCACCCAGGGAACTCCTCTGACGTGCTCCCCTAACGTGGAGAGCCGATGTTCCAGGTCGCACAGCCCCGCACATGCTAGCAATGTGGGCTCTCCTCTCTCAAGTCCATTAAGTAGCATGAAATCCCCGATTTCCAGCCCACCAAGCCATTGCAGTGTAAAATCTCCGGTCTCCAGCCCTAACAACATCACTCTGCGATCCTCTGTGTCTAGCCCTGCAAACATCAACAACTCAAGGTGCTCTGTTTCCAGCCCTTCCAACACAAATAACAGATCCACGCTTTCCAGCCCAGCAGCCAGCACTGTGGGATCTATCTGTAGCCCAGTAAGCAATGCCTTCAGCTACACTGCTCCTGGCTCCTCTGCTGGCTCCAGTGCAAGCCGGGACATGATTCCTAGTCCGGACACACACGAGAAAGGTGCTCAAGAGGTCGCTTTTCCCAAGACTGAGGAAGTTGACAGTGCCATCTCTAACGGTGTGACCGGCCAGCTTAACCTTGTCCAGTACATAAAACCAGAACCAGATGGAGCCTTCGGCAGCTCGTGTCTAGCAGGAAATGGCAAAATCAATTCAGATCCTCCATTCTCAGTACCAATCAAGCAGGAATCCACCAAACATTCATGTTCTGGCACTTCTTTTAAAGGCAGTCCGACGGTAAACCCATTTCCGTTTATGGATGGCTCCTATTTTTCTTTTATGGATGACAAAGACTATTATTCTCTATCAGGAATTTTAGGACCACCTGTGCCCGGTTTTGATGGTTCCTGTGAAGGGAGCGGATTCCCCATGGGGATTAAGCAAGAGCCAGATGATGGGAGCTACTACCCTGAGGCCAGCATCCCTCCATCAGCCATCGTTGGCGTGAATTCAGGTGGACAGTCCTTTCACTACAGGATTGGTGCTCAAGGTACAATATCTTTATCACGGTCAGCTAGAGACCAATCTTTCCAGCACCTGAGTTCCTTTCCTCCTGTCAATACGTTAGTGGAGCCATGGAAATCGCATGGCGACCTGCCATCGAGGAGAAGTGATGCATATCCAGTCCTAGAATACATTCCAGAAAACGTCTCAAGGTAAGGTCCCATTTGTTGGATGGTTGGTTGGTTTCTTCCCTGTGTGTGTGTGTGTGTGTGTGTGCGCACGCGTTGGAAAAATTGTGGCTTTATAAATTGTGGAAAGGTAGTGGGAAATGACGGCTTCATAAAACGTTGAGTAGTGTTGTCTTTACAGTTGGTAAAGTCAGACATTTCAGCTGACTATGTTATTTTTGCTATAAATAAGATGTTCATTTAATTCTTCTCCCTTCTGGTTGCCATTGTGTTGCTACTTTGTTGGAGTAGAACAACATATCTTTGAGAATATCTATGCTGACTTTGGAGAAACATAGTTCCAATAAATCTATGATTCCTCCTTTTTATTGTTTTAGGTGTTTCAGAAATGTCTATTTACTATATTTACTTTAGGAGCCTGGGTTTTTTCCTTTAGCTGTTGGCTGGTTGACTCAAACTGTTTTCTTCTTTGTGGACCTCTTGTTTTTTTCTTAATCACTTCATTCGTTATGAAAAATAAAATTGAACCAAAAATCTTACCACCATCTTCCCTCCCTCAGACACTTTTTTAGGTGGGTTAATCATATGACAGTTGTGGTTTTCAATACACATAAATCATTTCCCTAACTGTTGAGGGCTTTTAAAGACTCGTCACTTCTAGAATTACTAAGTGGACGATCTTTCTTTCTTACTCATATTGGAAGGGAACTATGTCAGTGCAGTTTGTTGGTTTATTTATAACATCTCATATCTGCAAGAAGGCACACTTTATTTACTGTAAAATATCTCTTGGCGTTCCTTGTTGCAGATAGCATGTCGTGTATATTTAGAAAACAAGGAAGAGGTTTTAGAGGACTATAAAGGGTGGGTCTGAGTTATGCAATGCGTTCCTGCATTGGACTTTGCTTCTGTATTGCCTGTGACACATGATCCCTTGATGGAATATATGAAGAATACGTTCACTGGCTCTTTTAGTTTGCATTTAGGAACATGTGAACGTTTTCTTTAAAATCTATTTCTTTGGAAATATCTCAAGGCTATTGAATACATTTCTAGATCTTTCTCCTTTTCTGTTCTTTTGTAAACTCGAGGGAAAAGAACCATTTAATTGTGCAACCTTTTCCTTCCTGGGACTCAAGCCTTGCTCTTCTTGCTTTTACGGAAGTAAGCATTCCATAAATGACAGATTATAGTTCTCGGTGATAAGCTATTGGATCCTTTTCTAGTGCTCTCTTCAGTTGTAAACTCTGAGGTCATGAAACAGCATGGTTGCTCTTGGAACCAAATTTTACCTGTTTTACTGCCAGTGTTTTTGCTTGTAGAGCATGACTTCTTGCACTTAATGTAAAAATTTTGGTAAGTAATGTGAGGTAGAATAGCCTAGCGATTTCCAACGTAAATCCCCTGCCTAAAGTTCCAGCTGGGCTACTTAATTACTCTGAGTATCTGTACACATCTCTGCCTAGCTGAACTTTAGCTTTCTCATCCATGGAAAGGGGCTAAGTAGCCGTCATCTCAAGGATGCTTAAGATAGTTTATGTAAGTTGTGAGAGGCACTTTGGCTATCACCCAGTGGTCACCTAATTCCTATGTGCATGATATTAAAAAGTTTCATTATCTTTCAGTTTCCTTTTTATCTATTTCATGAAATTTCACAAGGCATTTGAAAGAAATATTTAAAGTATTTAAGTACTTGTTAAATATTTGCAGGTTCTAAGAATTAAACTTTGTTTTTTATTGCATGGACACTACATGTTTCATATTACAATTGGTTTTTAACTTTGAAGAATTTTAGGTAGTATTTCTAGTGGAAACATAACATAGTGGCTAAAATCATTGGTTCTTACATTTGTTCTATATTTTTTTTCTAATATTTCAATTGTAGTATTTCCACTCAACTTATGAAGTGCCTCTATGACATGATGACTCTTGAATTTAGAAATGCTAGTACGACCATCCCAACCCTGGGGATTTACCCATACAAAATGAAAACAACATATGAAATGGTCATCTTTATCCCCATATTTATACAGTTTAATTCACATGAACTAAGATACATAATCAACTCATATGCCCATTAACTGATGACTGGATAAGGAAAATATACATAGACACTATGGAATACTAGTCAGCCATAAAAAAGAATGGAATTTTGTCTTGCAATTAAATGGATACAGCTAAAACCATTATATTTAGTGAAATAATGCAGTCCCAATAAGAGAAATATTGTATGTTTTCTCCGATCTGTGATAACCGATAGAATACAAAAAATATATTCTATGTGAATGAGATTGATCCTGGGATTTGATGATGATTTACAACCTGTGTCTACACTCCTGAGCAATAGTATGTTATTTCTTTAAAAACTTGCTACATGTCGATGTTTTTACCTAATGGAGTGTTAAGCCTGTGATTGTGAAGTAAGATGGAAATATGCCATGGTAAAAATTAAGCAAGGAAGAAGGAGGGTGGGTGGGGAATGTGGGCAGGAGAGAAGGTAAGATGGAACTCTCACTGTGCTCTGGATGGCTGCATTTCTGACCCAGCTCATTGACAGTGACCAAAGAAAGTGGCAGACGACGGCCCGCATGCTTGGGCCTCTGTACCCCAATGAGAGACCCAGAGGGTACTCTGGCTTCTGGCTTCTGATTGGCTCAGCATTAACATTTGCAGCAGTTTGGGTAGTCAGCCAGCAGATAGAAGATTCTCTCTCTCTCTCTCTCTCTCTCTCTCTCTCTCTCTCTCTTTCTCTTCTCTCTCCACAATTCTTTAACATATAAATGAATAATTTTATCTACTTGTTCACTCTCCCACATGGCTGCAATAGCCAGGAATGGGAGCCCAGCACAATGGCCCAGTGACTAAATCCACACCTTGCATGCCTGGGATTCCATATGTGCACAGATTTGTGTTCCAGCTGCTCCATTTCCCATACAGCCCCCTGATTGTGGTCTGGGAAAGCCGTATATGATGGCTAAGACCTTTGAACCCTGCACCCGCATTGAAAACCAAGAACATCTTGGCTTCTAAATTTAGATCCACTCCACTCAGTGGGCAGAAGATCTTTCTGTAAATCTGCCTTTCAAAAAGAGAAATATTTAAAAAAAAATTTTTTTAAGTAAAAAATTAATAAAACAAATAGCCAGGGAATGGGTCAGGCAAAAGCCAGAAACCAGGAACTTCATCCTGATTCCTATATGGGTGAGAGGGACCAAAATACTTGGGCCATAATCTGCTGCTTTTTGTGGTACTTAGTCAGAGATGCTGGATCAGAACTGGAATGGTGGAGACACAAACCCAGACTTTGATATGGGATGTTATCATGGCAAGCGGCTTAATTTGCTGTGCCACAATGCCAGCTCCTGGTTTTGTGCCAAACAGGATAACTTTCCATGGATCTTATTGCGCTATCTGAAATCTCTAACATATTAAAATACCCTATGACTTCTCTTCATTAATACTATCCAGTCTTTTTTGTTTTGTGCATTCTCTGAATAAAGGATCAATGATTAGAAGATATTTGGATATTTGGCTAGATTTCGACCTACATCTTATCACCTTGAACTTCATCCAACTTCAGCCTTCAGCGTTGGATTCTTATTTGGTATTTTGTACCAAATTCGATCTCTTTTACCTTTATTGATTATAATACCTCATTTCAGGAAATATTGAATAAATTAGTGATTTAAAGATTATAAATGATCAAGAACAGGTGTAAGCATTTCTAACTTTGATAGTAAATTTCATCTCTAGGTTGGCCTCTAACCTGTCTTCTAATAGATCAGAAAGTATGGTTTGAGGGCCCAGTGTGGTAGCTTAATGTCTAATGTCCTTGCCTTGCATGAGCCAGGATCTCATATGGTACCAGTTAGTGTCCCGGTGGCGCCACTTCCCATCCAACCCATCCAGCTTGTGGCCTGGGAAAGCAGTAGAGGATGGCCCAAAACCTTGTAACCCTGCACCCATATGGGAGACCTGAAAGGAGCTTCTGGTTCCTGGCTTCAGATCGGCTCAGCTCTGACCTTTGTGGTCAGTTCTGGAGTGAATCATCAGAAGATCTTTCCCTCTGCCTCTCTTCCTCCCTGCATATCTGACTTTCCAATAAAAATAAATAAGTCTTCAAAAAAAAACTGTATGGTTTGAGGGTCCTTAGGACATTTTTAAGATGATGAATGAAGTAGAAAGTCATTTACCAGGAATAGATCAACTCAGAATGAAAGTTAGATCAATGCATTTTAATGATGTTGTATATGAAAATTTGTAGATATTATTTCAGGTTACACATTGTGTCTAATTTTTACCACCTGCCAATTTTCAGTGTAACCTCAAAGAATTGTATGTCCAATTTTCTGAGAAGATCATTACATATTTCTCCCCATTTCTGATAACTTGACACTTTGGGGAGAGATTTTTTGAGTAAACTGAAAGAAAACATAGCCACACACATTGAATGCAGAAGTAGGTATTAAGTTCCAACTATCTTCTATTAAGCAAACCAATAAACTCAAAAATATGTAAAACAGTGCCTCTCTTCTCACTAAAGTTGCTCATGTGAGGAAATAGTTCTTTTCATAAACACAAGCTTACGTTCACCTGTCGTGATTTAGTTTCTAGTTTAAATGGATTTAATGTTTTAATTTCTAATCTGCTAGATATCCTTGGCTATAGCTTACATCAGCAAAATATCTTCAGGATCATCAGTTCTTTGTAAAAATGGAAAAGTGCTTCACAGTCCCGAAGTTGGGAACCACTCATCTGATCTGGTCTGTTTATGTTTTGGAGGTTGATGGAGAAAGAGAATATATAGCATTATTTGTTGTAACCCTCTTGTGTATCGCTCCAAGGAAGTAGTCTCACCGGGGTTAATTTTTCAGGTGCACAGCGATGAGCCATGGCTTTGAGCTCTGTGCTCTCTTTCAGAGCTAAATGTCATCACATGCATCGCGTGAATGTGGTGACAGCTGTCACCTGTGTGTTAATAATTTCCAGGGGCGAGATTGTGTGAATATCAAAGTGTAAGTTGT